AAACTTGGTACATCTTCCACAAGATTCATTTCCTCTTTTTGGCAAAAAATTCTATAAATTTTCAACATGGAAATGAACATGAGTGTCTCGTGGAGAAGAATAAAAATAAATCTGAAAATGTGGAACAACAAAGAATTCCTGTAGACTAGAGATGGGAGTGCAGGTTGGTTCAACCACTCTGGAAAGATCTTTGAACTATCAGAGAGTTGAAATACGTTGAAATATGTAAAAACCATCATCCAGTAATTCACTTCTAGATATATATGCCCCAAATTCATGCTCACATGTACCAACAGATATTTGTAAGACTGTTCATGGCAGGTTTATATATAATAACAATGGGATACAACTTAAATGCCCATCAACAATGATATACATAAATAAATGTTGGTGTACTCATATATACATATATTGAGTATACTATACTATTGGCATACTACACGGCATGAAAATGAGTAACCAAAGACCACACAGGGCACCACAGATGAATCTCACAAACATTATGTTGAATGAAAGAAACCATACATGAAGGAATTTGTAGTGTTTGATTATATTTACATAAAATTCAAAAACAGGCAAAACCAAATAATAGTATTAGCAGTCAGAAGAGTGGTTGGTTTCCTTTGAGGAGAAGATAGTGAACCATTTGTTTATCTGGAAGTTATACCTTTTGTGATAATTTCTTAAACTGTATGTCTATTTTCTGTGTACTTTTTAGAAGGTACATTATACATAATAATATTTCAATGATTAAAACATTTTCTCTAAAGCATGTGACCTTTGAAAATAAAAACACTATAATTCAAAGAAATATATTGCTTGTCAGTGGGACTTCTGCCCCAGATTTGCTGAAATACATGTTCATCCTTTGTCCTTAAGTTCAAGAGCCACTGGCATGGGTGATGGGAGTGGGAAGAAGCAGTTTTCATCTAAGATGCTGGTCAGGGATTATCATATAAGATCCAGGAGCTGGAAGGCAGGTGGAAATTGACCAGATTGTTTTTCCAAGCCCAGGGGTGACTCCATCAGGGACATTATTTTCTGGAGATTGTGCCAAATATAAGCATGAGACCAGGGGTTGCCTGAAAAAGCTAGAAACAAGTTAATCAGAGGCAGAAATTGGAGTTAAAGAGAGAAGCCAGAGAGCAGAGCCAAACAAATGGCACCAAATGGCAGATATCACTGGTGTGCAGTAAAGGGGAAGCAACTGGAGACACATTGCGGAGGAGTCCAGGAGCAGGCTAGAAAATAGAAAGAAGGGTTGAAAGTTGGGGGTTGGGTGGGAGGAGGCACAGCTCTCCCACTTAACTGCCATGTTACAGCAATTAAGACTCCGAGGAGTCAGAGAATTTTGAATTTGAACCTGGACTTCCAGGTGTTGAAGAAAGTCTATTTGTCAAGGTAGGAGGATACGGCACTTTTGTTTAGCTTGCTGTCTTGATTTATAACTTCCAAATATTTGGATGTATGGCAGGCTGGTCTCCATTTGTACTCTTGCCCCAGGATCTGAAAATATCAGATATTTTGCTAGGGTCCTACATTCTTCATTTAGGAGAGACTGCTTCTGTGGCAGAGAGTACATTCTGACCACTACTCTAGTTCATCAAGATTTCTTTGGAACATGGATTCTGACATATCAATGCCACTTTTAGTCGTCCTCTGTCCTGTAGCTATGGGCAAACCCCACATCGAGAAACATGGTTTCTAGTTCATTTATGCCAGTGAAAATGCTGAACAGGACAGGAGTAAGTCTTCAGTCTTGTAGGAGCACATTAGATATTTCCCTAAGATTGATGTCAACCCATTCATGCACACGCTGTGGGGGCAGCTGTTTGACCAACACAACTACCTAATCAGTTCTGTCCTGCCAATGAGGATATGATAAAAACGTTCTCGAATACTGCTGCAGTCAGTATACTTGGGGTCATGGAAGGCTGCTGACCTCATACGTGGGGACTTTTGCAGAGAAGAGATGGAGTGGCTTGACAAGACTTGCCGGTTTCTAGAACTTACTGTCTCTCTCTCGCTCTCTCTTTTTTTTTTAATGTGATCCTCTACCCTATGCTCCACAACTGACTTTGTGAGAGCAGTTGAATTTGGCCACTTGATAAAGGCAGAGGTGAGCAGTACCGAAGGTAATGAGGCAAACCTTCTAGGTAGTCTTCCAAGTTTCTGGTCTGATGGGAAAGATGGCAATGACTTTGGAGAACCAAAACTCAAGGGTCAGCAAACTTTTTCTGTAAAGCACCATATCATAAATATTTCAGGTGTTGTGCATCAGTCTCTGTTGCAGTTATGCAACTCTGCTGTGAAATCAGTCCTAGTGCAATGATCAGCCATAGACAACACGAAATGAATGGTCATGGCTGTGGTTCAATAAAACTTTACTGACAAAAATAGGTGGTGGGTCAAATTTGATATGGCTATAGTTTGCCAACGTCCATTTTCAAGTATAATCACTCCCTGAGGCTAAGCAAAGGACATCAGGAAATGGGCTAATCTTCTGAGTTAGTAAGTAAAACAATGACAACACCATGTGTTATATTAAAGATGGCCCTCGTTGTGCTGCCCTGCTCTGCAGCTCAGAGACCATCAGAAGAATCCAAGTAAAACACCAATCTCCTTGCACCCTTCCTAACCCGAGAATCTTCTGGGCTCCTGTTTACAGTGGCTTTGCCTAAACACTCCTGCTTTCTTTCCCAGCCTCACCCTTTGTCCCTGTCACATACACCATGCTGTCCAGTCATACAGAGCTCTTCTCTGGTCCCTCATTAGCTGTGCAGAGCTATGCCTCCAAACCTTACCCCGTGTTGTTCCCCCTGCTGAAAAAACTCCCTTGTTGCTTTCAAACTCTTACTCATCCTTCAAAGGACCATTCAAATGTCTCAGCCTTGAAGTTTGCCAGGCACCCTTAAGTTGGGTTAATTTTCCTTCTTCCATGTTCTCATAGCACTTTGTACAGAACCATACTTCATCAACACAACTTCAGAGTGATCCCTTCTAACTCATCTCTAATAGTTTAACCTTCTTGTGTATAGTATTTAATAAATCTGTTTGCTCCTTTCTCACTGGGATGTGAATTCTTTTCAGACACAGGCTACACCTTATTAATCTTCTCTCACCCCAGGGTTAGCACTGAATCCGGCACAGAAAGGATGTGGAGCACATGTTTGCACAATTGTTTAACTCATGGCAGAATCTGCTCGTGCTCACACCACTGGGGCTCCATGGAGTGATTCACAGTTTAGATTGTCTGCTATTTTTATAAGACACTTTCAGCGGCTTAATAACTGGCTCTTCCTGACAAGGCATTTGGGAACTGTGCGTAAGTGACAGAATAATATTAAAATCAAATCAAGTTCAGAGATAAATATACAAATCTCTGCTCCACCGACGTGATATGCCCCCTACGAATCACAAAAGATAATTGTTTTAGTTGATACAGCTGTTGTGTGTTTTGTACAAGGATTTTCTCTTTCAAAGACATCTCATGAAAATCTCATTTTCTTATGAAATATGAGACCATGTTACACCTTTTCCCTTTTTAAATACGTTTCCTACATCTTGTTGATTTGATCCCCAGTTCCATTTAGAACACTGAAGGGGTAATCTACGCAGTGGGACCCCAGTGGCCTCAAAGTGTGGCTGCAGTTTTTCAAAGTGCCTCGTCGAAGATCGTTCGTAGAAGTAAATCTGGGCAAGATCAGGTTCATGAAATGACACAGGTCCCTGGGCCTACTTCTACATTGTTTATCCAAGGAGAAGGTCAAATGTGTGTTTAAGATGGACACCCTGTTATGAGTTGAAGCCTGCCACATCCTCAGGTTTCCTGCAACACCCACTTTCCAGATACTGTTCTTCCTGCAAATGAGTAAGACAACAGGGCAAACAGAACTAGGAGGTGGGAGGGGCAGATGTGCAGTTATGAGGCCCTCACTCCCTCTAAAATGTGTGAGTGGTGAACCCTCACTTCCTCTGAAACTTCAGACGGTCTCATATATTTTTCCTTATTTACTCCAAGAATTCTTGGGGAAACTCTAGGCTTATAAGAATCTTCTCAGGCCAGGCGCAGGGGCTCACACCTGTAATCTCAACATTTTGGGAGGCCAAGGTGGGAGGACCACTTGAGCCCAGGAGTTCGAGACCAGCCTGGGCAACATAGCAAGAACTAATCTCTCTCTAAAAAAAAAAAAAAAAAAAAAAAAAATTAGCCACACAGGGTGGTGTGTGCTTGTAGTCTCAGCTACTCCGAAGGCTGAGGTGGGAGGATTGCCTGAGCCCAGAGGTTAAGGCTGCAGCAAGCCATGATTGCACTCCAGCCTGGGCGACAGAGCAAGACCCTGTCTCAAAAAAAAAAAAAAAAAAAAAAAAAAAAAAAAAATACCATAACAAACAAAAAGAATCTTCTTGGCTGTCAAATCCCTGGTTGGGTAGTGGCATCACTGTTTCTTTCCCTGCATCTCAGTTCCTTCCTCTCTGGTCTCGCCTGCTCCTCTGGAATCTGCCTACGTGGACTCCCACATTAGCCTGAAGCACTCACAGGCAAACTCCTGGAGGTTAACGAGGCCACGAAACAAGAGAGAGGAAAAGAAGCGGTCAAAATTAGTTTCTTTTAGGCTGGACTGATTTCCTCTGGGACCTGGAATTGGCAGGACATAAATAGATAATCAAAGATTTTTACTTGCCCAGGTAGAAATTATATAATCAGAGGCTGCTTCTTCCTTTGGTTTTTTTGAAACTTCACTGGAAGGAAATTCTCCTTGAGTTCTCAATGACATCGAGCATTCCTCCTCTGCTTTTACTAGGAAATCTTCATTCTCTTTAAGCCAACAGCCTTCAAAGCTAATCAGGTTATTCTATGTACGTTAATGTACACACTGGGGCTTTAAAAATACATCTTTTATGATCTTTGGTGTGTGTGTGTCTTGTGTGTGTGACAAGAGAGATCATACAATGACACAGATAACCCACTTCAAAAATAACCTTGTTTTCTTCTTCAGGATCCACTGAACCCAGGAACATGACCCCCATCCCTGTCCACCGCAGAGTTCAAAGATGAGCAGGTGAACCTTTCAACTCCTATTAGCAGAAGGAATGATTTCTTTCCAGTCTCCCCCATTTCAGCCCCCATTGCAGTGACTCCCAACTCTGCACCTGACTCCAGAGCCCAAACTCTTTTCTCCACTCTCCTCCACCTACTTATGTCCCAGGCATCTCCAGCTCAACTCATCCAAGCTGATCGTCCCCTCTGTTCCACACTCAGCCCACCAGACCTGCTCTTCCTCCAGCGTTTCCTGCGGCACTGTAAATATTTCCAATCATCCACAGAGAAATCTGCTGCCCCTAGCAGCCAGGAATTCTTTTCTGCCAGGGGAAACAAGTCTTTTGTGCCCACAGCCACTAGCTCAGGCCCATGACACATTGGATCAGCCAGAGAAGCCTGGCCCAGCAGGGCGCGTCTTTCTTGCTTGTCTCCACATCTGGGCACTTTTGTCTGCTCCATTCCCTCCCCTCTTGACCTAGTTTGGCCCTTAGCTTCTTCCTTGGATTTCTGTAAACACGGGGTGGAAGTGGGCTCAGAGCATCGGGTCCCAGTCCAAACAACCTGCGTTCAAGTCCTGCCTCCACCCAGTCTTAGTTTCAGGATGTGAATGACATCATTTTATCCTCCCTCTGCCTCAGTTCCCTTATCCTTAAGTAAGAACAATGCCTAGCCGGGCATGGTGGCTCATGCCTGTAATCCCAGCACTTTAGGAGGCCAAAGTGGGCAGATCACTTGAGATCAGGAGTTCGAGACCAGACTGGCCAACATGATGAAACCCCATCTCTACTAAAAATACAAAAATTAGCCAGGCATGGTGGTGGGTGCCTGTAATCCCAGTTACTCGGGAGGCTGAGGCAGGAGAATCACTTGAACCCAGGAGGGCAGAGGTTGCCATGAGCCAAGATCGCTCCATTGCACTCCAGCCTGGGAGACAGGGCGAGACTCCGTCTAAAAAAAAAGAAAGAAAGAAAGAAAAGAAAAGAGAAAAGAACAGGGCTGGCAAGTTTTTGCTACAAAGGGCTAGATAGTAAATATTTCTGGTATTGAAAGTCAAGAAGCAAAATTGAGGCTACTAATAGGCATTTATAAAACTAGAGAGAAAATAAAGATTCACAATGTTTTCGCTGGTAAAATTCAAAATATAATAATAATTGGAACTCATAGAGAGAGTAGAAAGGTGACTGCCAGGGGCTGGGAGTAGGGGAATGCTGAGATGTTGGTCAAAAGGTACAAACTTTCGCTTATAAGATGAGTAAGTTCTGGGGTTCTAGAGTACAGGATGTACTCTAATTAATAGTTAATAGTACTGTATTGTAAACCTGAAATTTGTTGAGAATAGATCTCTAGTGTCACCACCACACACACAAAAAATAGTTACTATGTGAAGTGATGGACATGTTAATTCAATTGTGATAATTATTTCACAACATATACAAATCGTCATGTTGTATATCTTCAATATATACAATTTTAATTTGTAAATTGTACCTCAATAAAAACAGAAGAAAAGTATTATTAATTGAGGACAATTTTATTCATTTATTTACAGAATAGAGGTGGGGTCTTGCTATGTTGCCCAGGCTGGTCTCAAACTCCTGGCATCAAGTGATCCTCCTGCCTTGGCCTCCCAAATTCTTGGATTACAGGGGTGAGCCTCTGTACCTGACCAAGGACAATCTTTTTTTTTTTAATTCAGGCCTACTAATGAGAACAAGAGAATTCTTTGTGAGGAGGATAACATTTTGTTTAATTAGGGTTTGAACTTAGTATTCCCTATCATCAAAATCAATTTAAGTGTTACATCTGTAAAAATCATTCTTAGCTCACCTGCCAAGCAAAAACAGGTGGTGGGCTCGATTTGGCCTGCAGGCCATGGTTTACCCACTCAAGGGAAAGAATAGAAGTGATCATGCTAAGTGCTTAACACATCATGACTACTCAAAGGTTGCTAGCCACTATAATGATCTCTCACCATCCTACGCACCTCCACAGGTGGCTTCAGACGCGTACACTCTCAGGGTTTTCTTAGGCTGTCTCATACCTGAGCCTTTGCCCAGGCTGTGCTCTCAAGATCCCACCTCCTTGGAAAGCCTTTCCTGCTCCCCTCCCTTCTTCCACATCTTTCCATCCCTAAGGGACTCCCTTAATCCCTCTTCAAACTCCTGATCCTTCCAGAGCCCCCCATCCCTGCTTCTCTCCTATTTGATTATTCTTCTTCCCCCTTTCAACTTCAAGGTGACACCACGCATCACTCATGATGTCTCCAGCTCTGTGCTTAATTGTACTATGTGCTCAATAAATGTTGGCTGTAATGAATGAACCTCCTACCTGCAAATGGAAGACTCAGCAGAAGCCCTCCTTCGTTGCTTCACTTCCCAAGGAGCTCTTTGTTCTCAAAGCATCTGAAACATTTGGTCCTCATTGGTTTTCTTATAAATGACACATTATAGAATAACAGCTAAGTGCCTTGGCCCTGGTTACAAATTCCAGCTCCATCACTTCCTGGCTTTGCGGTTTTGTACAACTTACTTAACTTGTCTGAGCCTCAATTTGTTGGTAAAATGGTGATAATAGTGGTACCCACCTCATACGTTGTTTGCAAATTAGATTACATAAAGCATACAAAGCACTTAGCACAGTAAATACCCTACAAATGTCTGTTGCTTTCTTCACAATTATTGAGCAATGGCCATGTTTTAAGCTCTTTCATTAATTTTTTTTTTCTTTTGAGGCAAGGTCTCACTCTGTCACCCATGTTGGAATGCAATGGTGGGATCACAACTCGCTGCAGCCTTGAGCTCCCAGGTTCAAGCGATCCTCCCTCCTCAGCCTTCTGAGTAGCTGAGACTACAGGTGTACATTGCCACGCTCAGTTAATTTTTTTTTTTTTTTTTTTTTTTGTATATTTTGTAGAGACAGGGTCTCACTGTGTGGCGCAGGCTGGTTTCAAACTCCTGGCCCCTAGTGATCCTCCTGCCTCAGCCTCCCAAGGTACTAAGATTACAGGCGTGAGCCACCATGCCTGGCCATTAATTTGTTAATTTCTCACACATATGCTGTGAGGCAGGTACTACTGTCATACCCGTTTTATAGATGAGAAAACTGAGGCAGAGACATTGTTTGTGTAAGGTGACGCAGCCAGTGTGGCAGAGCCAAGATTCAAACCAGGCCATCTGGTCTAAAGCTGTGCTGCTAACCCGTGTTGGTATCTTGTAGAGATATGCCTCTTCAGCAAGATTTTAGGCTCTTTGAGGGTAAGGAATGTGTTGCAGAATTCTTCATACCCTTCCTAGCGGCCGGCACAGCACCCAGATGTGGTGCTCCTTGATACAGATCTGCTGATTCATGTACTCATTCCTCCATCACCCTAATGCGGAGGAGGGGCAGAGGGTTCTACAGAGATTTCCTCCCACCCAGGCCTGACCGCCCGTGAGCATCTTTGTGTCTTACAGAAGGGGACACGAAGGGAAGCAGAAAAGGGGGAAAATACATGAAAAGAGTGCACGTGGGGTGTCTGGGGAGAATTTCACCTGCTCAGAAGGCGACAGTGGAATTAGAGTCGACCTCAATGAACTCCTATTTCTTCCTGTTCCGTAGAGCACCAGCCCCATCGTCAGTGAGCGGCTGTGAGGACACCAACCAGCACCGGCTGACTCTGCTGATTGTCTGTAACATGCTTGTCCCTCTTAATCAAAGTGATGTCATCCTCTGATTTCAGAAAGTGAAGGATAGCAAAATTAATGTTGGCTCAAGTGGGCTTCTAATGGCCGTGGGCTGCCGAGGGGCTGCAGGCCTGCAGGCCTGCTGCATTTCAATGATGTGCACTGGGATTTCTTCGCTAACAAGGGTGCCATAAGTCTTAATTACCCAGAACCAAGGCCTCACCTTGCTGTGTGTCCCCCGGGAGCTCCCTGTGAAGTCAGTGGGAGCTTTGCCTGCGGTTCAGCCCAGTGAAAACTTGCCTGTAAATGTTTGCAAATTACCTCGTGCACCTCTGAAGGAAACAGGAGGGAATTATTTATTTTTAGAAGGTTGGTGCAGCCGTGCCCCTGCCTCGCCTGTCACATACCTCTGTGTTACTCAAATCCCACTCCCTTCCCTCTGATTAATTCTGAACTGTGGGTCTCTTTTCTTTATGGTTGATGGATACACTTCCTAGGTCTTGCCCTCAGTCAAACTGCTGGTAATGTCCTGTTGCTCTTTCTCCTTCCTTAGGGGGCTCTCTCGAGAAAGCCTAATGCATTTTCCATTAGAGGAACTGATTTGTCCTTTCCTTTCCAGCAATGGAAAGCAATCTCCCCCATGTGGAGGATGTCAAGAGCCCCTAAATGGCTATTCCTTCTCTCTTCAGCTCTTCCTGCCTGGACTGAGGCACCCACGCCCCGCTGCTGTGAATACTGCCCGTTAACAACACATCTGTTCCCTTCTCCTGAGACTCGCCCTGGGAGAAAAGCACCACTCACCTGGAAGAGCCGGGGAGGTTTGCCTTCCCGCTGGGGCCAGCACAAAGGCTGGCCCTCTTGCCTCGCTCAAGAGGGCAATCTGTGTCCCCATACACGCCCCAAAGCTCCCACAGGAGCAGGCTGAGGCCAAACCTCCTCTGAGCCTGTCCTGTTTGCGTTTTCCTCACACCCTTACAGGTTTCACTTGAAAGCACTCCCTTAAGAAATTGCTTGCCCAAGGAGCCCCGTTTCTGGCTCAGCGTATTGGCAACCCAATATAAGCCGCCTCGCTAAGCCATCCTTCCCACTGCAAGCAGAATAGTCTTTTCAAACTGCAGCCTGATCATGCCACTTCCTTTCTTAAGCCTTCAATGCCTTCCATTGTCCAAACTCCGGAGCTTGGATCTTAATCCCCCGAGACCTGGCTCTCCTTCCATCTTCACCCTCACCACCCAGAGAGGTCACTTCCTCCAGAGATGCCTAGCCAGACCCCCTACCATAAATACTATCATATTGAGACTGCCCGCTTGCTTTTCTTTCTTCTCCTCTAGACTGCAAACTCCTCTGGAATTCCAGAAACCTACTATGCATGTAGCACATATGAGACCTTCAGTAATTATTTGTTGATTAACAAAATTGAACTGATGAATGACTGAACTAGATACTTCATACATGTTTAATAATAACAGCCAAATGCCAACTTCAAGTTAATATTATATCAACATTTGCCTCCTTGTGATTTATATAAAGTTCTCGTAAGTAGCAGAATTCACTGGGAATGTATTAAAATAATTACATGTTTTAACACATACATATATGCAGGTTGATTAGGGTGTCCAGTACAATCGATGTACAGATGTTCTCTGATGTTTCAGGTTTTCGTTTCTTTTGGACACTTAGTTTGTCAATCAAAGCCTTCCCAACCCCCACTGACCAACCTCTGACTTTCAGCAATTCTCTGTCGAATATTAAATACCTTTGCCTTCTCTTTGCATGTCCCCAACAACAACAACAACAACAAACAAATAAACAAAAAACCTGCAATTTCAAGTGCCAGAATAGCTCTTCTTATCGGAGAAAGAAAGCCTTGAACATCAGTGAACCATACTTAAAATCTGCCATTTCGCTGCTGACTTTTCAGAAAAGTATTACCCTGCAAAGAAGCTGCTCTTGGATGCAAGCCTCATGATTGCCAGAGTCATCGAATGTTCGGACTTGCCCAGTTCTCACTTTGGAATTGGGCATATCAGCCAGTAGAGTGCATTAATTCTTGGCATGACCATAGACTGAAACACAAGCAGCATTAACAAATTACCAGTGATAGATATGCAAATGGGCCAAGGACAAATATTAAAACAGCCCTATCTCGCTTTGCCGCTACCTCGTCCTGTCCAAAATTCGTAGAATTATTACTCCTCCTGGAATGCTTAGTAGTGCGTATAGGGTAATATTCTTGAGGAAGCTAATAATTATCTCTTGTTAGCAAGATCAGCTTACTACAGTCTTTCACTGCAGGGACAGAAAAATATTGTGACTTTGTTATGCTAAATGAAACACAGTGGCAGGATAAATTAGGACATTTAAACTAATAATAATAATAACGTCGCACAGCTATAGTTCACCTCTACATATAATTGATAAAATTAACAGAAAACAGGCACGGTGACAATAGAAGAATATGCATTATGAATGATTGATTGAGACACAAAGGGACAAACTTCTTCTGTTGCTTATGTTATTATAGCTAATATTTATTACGCACCCACTGTGCAAGGCATAACTCTTATCAAGGACAATGATAATAATAAATTGCTACCTGTCAACCATAGTAACTTCATTATGTAACCAGGCAGCACTCTTATTAAGGCTTTGGAATCTACTAAAAGTTTCATTTTGAAACAATGAACCAAGAGGAACAAATTTGTGAATTGTGGATCTGTAATATTAACCCAAAGACTGAGCCTTGGAGAGAAACGAAATTCTAAAGAAAAAAATTAATTTCTGCCAAAGAAAATCTAAGAACATAAGTTAGCCAGCCCTACCAGCTGCCTCTGACTGTGCTGTAACAGAGATGAGGCAAATATCTAATTTCGTGGAAAAAATTTATAGACTAGACTTTGAATCAGGCAGAGTCCAACAAGCCTTCCCTGCCCAGTTTTCAATCAAATGGTGTAATAAACAGCAATGTCCTCACATGTCCAAGATCCCCCTCTCTGATCTCTGGATATCACCTTCCCTGATATATCCAGACATAACTCACCCACTGCATTTGCTAGTTTAATTTGCTTAGTGGATGTGGTAGACTGTTTACAAAGTTGGCTGTAGTAAATCCTCACATCAGGTCTGAACATCTCTTTGCAACGTGACTTCATACTACTTCCCATCAAGTGATGGAATCTATTTCTCCTTGCCTTGAATCTAGGAAGGCTTTGCAACTTGCTGTAAGCAAAAGAATACAACGGAAGTGATATTTTGGCAACTTCCAAGCCTAGTCCTTAAGACACCTTGCAGCTTTCACTTCTATCATCTTAAAACACAGGGCCACCAGGTAAGGAAGCCACAGCTAACTATCTTGAAGATGAGAACCCGCATGGAGACAGGTGGCCCAGCCAATAGCCAGTACCAACTGCCAGACACATTGGCCATCCTGAACGATGGTTCCAGTTACACTACTAGGTGACAGTAGCTGCATAAGTTACTCCAAAAGAGACCAAGCAGAAGAACCACCCCATTGAGCCCAATATAAATTGCTGACCCTCAGAATCGTGAACAAATAAAATAGTTATAATTTGAAACCACTCAATTTTGGAGCAGTTTGTTACACAGCGATTGGGAACCACACATGAACAATGTGATAGACACTTTAGAATTTTGCGCAGTACTTTAAAGGAATGACTCTACTCTAACTCCTACACAACACCAGCCTTCAGGACTGTGTTAACTTGTGAAGCTAAGGAATTCTTCTCGTTTCTTTCCCCTTCATCTCTCAAAGCAATTCACACTGAGGCTGAACTGTGCAACCTTCCTTTGCCGAGGGATTAATAAAAAATTGAAGGCTCAGAAATGCTTCTTCAGCGGTTGACTGATGGTTTGTTTACAGTGAAGTGGGTGGACAGGCAACCCCAGCTCTCCTCCTCTGTCTAGGTGAGAAACTGCCATAGCTCTGGCACCACCGCCAAGACCCTGAGGCCTAAGGGAGGGCCTCTGGTGACTGGGACCAATGAATGGTGTATTATAATGCCAGCGCTGGCTAAGGGCGGTGGCTCAGGCTTGTAATCCCAGCACTTTGAGAGGCTGAGGCAGGTGGATCGCCTGAGGTCAGGAGTTCGAGACCCAGGCCGGCCAACATGGTGAAATCCCGTCTCTACTAAAAATCCAAAAATTAGCCAGGCCTGGTGGTGGGTGCCTGTAATCTCAGCTACTTGGAGGCTGCGGCGGGAGAATCATTTGGACCCCGGAGGCAGAGTTGCAGTGAGCCAAGATCACACCATTGCACTCCAGTCTGGGTGACAAGAGAGAGAATCCGTCTTAAATAATAATAATAATAAAATAATAATAATGCCAGGGCACTCCAGAGGAACAGCACCAACAGGATGTGTATATGTAATCTGTAGGGTAGGCTGGCAGGCTGGAGACCCAGAGAACAGTTTCAGTTGAGTTCAAAGGTGGTAAGTATATTGGCAGAATTTCCTCTTCTTCCAGGATATCAGTCTTTTTCCATTAAGGCCTTCAACTGATTGGAGGAAGCCCGCCTACGTTATGGAGAATCATCTGCTTTATTCCAAGTTTACTGTTAATCTTATCTAATGTTGGCCAGGCTGGTCTCGAACTTCTGCCCTCAAGTGATCTGCCCATCTCAGCCTCCCAAAGTGCTGGGATTACAGGTGTGAGCCACCACGCCTGGCCACCTTTAATAGGGTCTAACAGAGTGAGTGCTTCTGGCCTGCTACTTGGCTTGATTAAATATAAGGGTTTACTCCAGACCATAGTGTCCCTAGCATGCTTTTATACCTTCACAGAAACACCTAGAACAATGTTTGATCAAATTTCTGGGTGGCCTAGCTAAGTTTACATGATATTTTTGTTATTATTACTACTATTATTATTTTGAGATAGGGTCTCACTCCATTGCCCAGGCTGGAGTACAGTGGCATGATCTCTGCTCACTGCAGCCTCACCCTCCAGGACTCAAGCAATCCTCCCCACTCAGCCTCTCGGGTAGCCGGGACTACATGACTGGCTAATTTTTTATCTTTTGTAGAGACAGCATCTTGCTATGTTGCCCAGGCTGGTCTCGAACTCCCAGAATCAAGCTATTCTCCAGCCTTGGTCTCCCAAAAGTTCTGAAATTACAGGTGTAATTACTGTGCCCAACCTGACACATGAATTAACCATTACAGATGGTTTTATGAATTGAATTGTGTCTCCTCAAAGAAAGATGGGCTGAAGTCCTACCCCTAGTACTTCAGAATGTGACCTTATTTGGAGATAGGGTCTTTACAAAAGTAATCAAGTTAAAATGAGGTTGTTAGGATGGGCCCTAATCCAGTATAATTGATATCCTTATCAAAAAGGGGAAATTTGGACACAGAGATAGACACACACAGAGGGAAGATGATGAAGACATACAGGGAGAAGGCAGCCATGTGACTGGTGTAATGTGTCTACAAGCCAAGGAAAGCCAGGGGTTGTCAGCAGAGACCAGGAGCTAGAAGAAGCAAGGAAGGGGTCTCCCGTGAACATTCAGGGATAGCGTGATCCTGCTGACATCTTGATTTTGGACTTCCAGACTCTAGAACTATGATGAAATAGACTTCTGTTTCAAGCCATCCAGTTTTCGGTCCATTGTTATGACAGCTCTGGGAAATGAATAGGGGTGGAGAGCTCAGAACCTTGTTTCCAGGTCTGAGAGGAGACCACAGACACCTGCCCCTCCAGCAGGGGAAGGAGAGGGAGCTGAAGAAACCTTAAGTGAGTCTTCTCTCCTTGAGCTTCTGACCTCACAACATGGACCTTTGACGAGCCCTGGGAGACAGGTCTGAGGGGAGTTGGGAAAGTGTCTACTTCGTCCCAAAGAAGCAAGGTTGCTCCTTAGGTACATGGATCACCAAGTAGGGTGGGAGGATGGAGGTTCTTGGCTGTGAATTTGTGAATGGAAGGGCCTCAGTCCAGGTATTTGGCTGCTGGTCCTGTGTCCCGTTACAACAGCTCACTCCATAGAGGAGAGCCCTGAAGAGCAGTCCAGCAGAAGTCACACTGAGCCCTGAAAATGGGCTCTGGAGCCAGATAAACCTGGGCTAGTTCTGGCTCTGCCAGTCACCAGTTCATAATAATGGCTGGCTTTTTATGGAATGCTAAGCACTTCAGGTACGTGGTCTCATTGACTCATTTAAACAACTCATTTTGCAAAAGAGAGACTAAAGCTCAGAGAGGTTAAATGAGCTCCCCAAAATCACACAGCCAATGAAGATTCTAATCGAGGTAGTCTGACCACCAATTCCCCATGCCCAAATTCTTAATCACCATAGCTGATAAAAGCATGCTAGGAACACTATGGCCTGGGGTAAACCCCTATATTTAATCAAGCCAACTAGCAGGCCAGAAGCACTCTCTCTGTTAGATGCTATTAAAGGTGGCTGGGCGTGGTGGCTCACACCTGTAATCCCAGCACTTTGGGAGGCTGAGACGGGCAGATCACTTGGGGGCAGGAGTTCGAGACCAGCCTGGCCAACATTGTGATATCCTGTCTCTACCAAATATACAAAAAGTCGGGCATGGTGGCATGTGCCTGTAGTCCTAGCTACTCGGGAGGCTGAGGCAGGAGAATTGCTTAAACCCAGGAGATGGAGGTTGCAGTGAGCTGAGATCACGCCACTGCACTCCAGCCTGGGCAACAGTGAGACTCCATGTCAGAAAAAAAAAAAAGTTATTAAAGGTACAGAAAAAGCTAGACTAGGGCCTTGTCTGGAGGTATTGATGGTCTAGTTGACAGGAGGACACCCACTCGGGGATAATTATGACTGGCGTTGCCCCCTTCTTTGGGAATATGGAAAGTTTAAGTTTATCCACAGGGAGGGCTTTAGCTACTGGGGATCTCACCATTTTTAATGAGTTGGCATTTTGCTCTCCAAATACGTCAGCAGGTGAATGCATTTTATCAGACTTCTACTGGCATAGTAACAGAGTTGAAAACTAAAGGAAGTTGGGCCCCTGCTCAAAATACTAGGCAGCAGGCCCAGATTGTAGCTAATCAGTACCCCAGGCAAATCACTGATTAATTCAGACTTGCTTCCCCTCATTGTGTGTCTTCCTCTGCATCTGTGCTACCTACCTGACTCAAAGGAATGGGCAGGGTGAGAGCTGGTAGGTAGAAGTGCTGTGATGGTCAGCAACCAAAGACTGTGTGATATTAAGACAGTACATCAAGAGATGGCTTCAACATTAATCACAAAGGAGAAATCATAAGACTTGTATCCTGGAAACAGAATGGCCTTGGAATGAATATTAAGAAAGGGCAACACCCTGGTATTAACTGCCTACTGTCTCTGGGTACTTGCCTGTCCAAAGCAAACAGTGGAGCAAACACTGATAGCCTCTGGGGCCAGAGTGTGTTCAGAAGACAGTGTTGTTATATAAGGCAGGTCCTGGTGTCAGGTATGCCGAGAACTGGCTGTGTCACACATCTGTGGGGTTAGAGAGTCAGGAGCTGCGTCCAAAAGGATCTTCTCTGCGTTGTTTCATAGATGGGGAGGGTAGGACTCTCTGGCTGCAGGGGGTAGGTAGCTGCAATTGTAGGCAACATTGAAACTTGCATAGGTTCCTAGAAGCATTGCCTTGGATGATTATATTGGTTTTCTAGGGCTGCCATAACATAGTACTAAAAACTAGGTTGCTCAAAACAATAGAAATGTTTCTGGAGGGTAGAAGTCTGAAATCAAGATGGCGGCAGGGTTGGTTCCTTCCAAGGGCTCTTAGGGAGTGTTTGTTCTGTGCCTCTCTCCTATCTTCTGGTGAAGGCTGGCAATCCTTGGTGTTCCTTGGTTTGTAGACACATCACTCCAATCTCTGCCTCTGTCTTCACATGGCGTTCAAACAGTGAGCCTTTGTGTTTAAATTTCCCTGTTCTTATAAGGACACCAATTATATTAGATTGGAGCCTGCCCTAATGACCTCCTCTCAAATTGATCACATCTGCATAGACCCTATTTCCAAATAAGGTCACAATCACAGGCACTGAGGATTGGGGCTGCAATACATCTTGTGGGGAGGATGCCATTTAATCCATAATAATGACCCTGATGGAGCCATTAGACCCCACTGGATTGAAAGCATCTGAAAATTGGGCACAATTTTATTCATTTCATATCCTTATTGCCTCGAACCATGCCAGGCAAATAGCTAGTGCCCAGTAAGTGCTGACTGAATGCAGTCTTTGGCTTTACTAATTCTTACCTGGGTAGTCTTTGGCAAGTCTCTTAGCAATTCCGAGCCTCAATCTGCTCTTCTCTAAAATGGGTATAATGCAACATGCAGGTTGGTGGCCAGGTACCAGGAAGCCACTACACATAAAATGCCTAGCACATAGCAGGTGCTGAGCAAATGGACTTTTTTTTTTTTTTTTTTTTTTTTTTTTTTTTTTTTTTTTTTTTTTTGAGATGGAGCCTTGCTCTGTTGCCCAGGCTGGAGTGCAGTGGTGTGATCTCTACTCACTGCAACCTCCACCTCCCAGGTTCAAGCAATTTTCATGCGTCAGTCTCCTGAGTAGCTGGGATTACAGGAGCCTGCCACTATGCCCAGCTAATTTTTGTATTTTTGGTAGAGACAGGGTTTCACCATGTTGGCCAGGCTAGTCTCAAACTCCTGACCTCAAGTGATCTGCCTGCCTCGGCCTCCCAAAGTGCTGGGATTACAGGCATAAGCCACCATGCTTGGCCAGAAATTTTTATTTTAAAAGGTGATATGGTTTGGCTCTGTACCCCCTCCCAAATCTCATCTCAAACTGTAATCTCCACAAGTCAAGGGAGGGACCTGCTGGGAGGTGATTCGATCATGGGGGCAGTTCCCCCATGCTGTTCTTGTGATAGTGAGTGAGTTATCATGAGATTTGATGGTTTTAGAAGTGTTTGACAGTTCCTCCTTCAGATTCTCTCTTTCTCGCCTGCTGCCATGTAAGATGTGCCTGCTTCCCCTTCCACCATGATTGTAAGTTTCCTGAGGTCTCCGCAGCCATGTGGAGCTATAAGTAAATTAAACCTCTGTTCTTTATAAATTATCCAGTCTCAGGCAATTCTTTATAGCAGTATGAAAATGGACTAATAAATACAAAAGAAAATTTCAAACTTTACATGCTACCCTCTAGTTTATATTTCTTTATACCATATTTATTTCATCATATCAATTCTTTAAGATTTTTTTTTTCAAAAACCCTAATACATATTAGGCTAATCTAACCATATTAATCAGAAATGCATTCAGTTCACGATAACACAATATTCATTTAAACTCGTTCAAAATTGCAGGGTGGAGGGCATTTATTAGCTCACACAATGCCCTCACATAATGCCCTGCTGTTCTGGATCAGGGAGGGCTTGATCCAGAGTCCAGACAATGCTACTCAAATTTGCCCTTTATCTCTTGGACAGGCCTTCATTACATGGCTACTGGTGGCCTCATTGAATCTTACCAACCTAACAACCCTAGGGAATAGAGGTAGCCTTTTCTGATTGCAACCTCAGAAGAGATCCAAGGAAGATACTGATTTGCTTGATTTGGATCATGTGCCTATCTTGGAACCAGCCACTAAGACCAAGAGCATAGGATAGATGCATTTGCCAGTTCTGGGTCATGTGAATAGGGAAGGGCAGAGTCAGGCTCCTGTGGAATGGGTTCCCTCCAGAAATAAAAGGGCTCTATTTCAGAAAGACATGCTGGAGAGGTTTAATAAGAAATGCCTCTGGCCCTTGAAATGGCCCACAGGACAGAAGATAAATGAGGCTTAAAAAACATCAGGTTTCTAGAAAAGTACTCAGTGTAATTTCTGCAAAAATAAAAACAGAAGCTGTATCTTATAGACAAGAGCTTGCTGCTCCAATTTTTAAAAATGCCTCACTGCTTTTGTGGTCCTTACACCTACATAAATTATTACTAGCGATGGGGAAGGCTGGCCTGAGTCACGTGGACTGAGAGGGCCTATCATTACGTCAGCTGATAACACAGGGATCTCCCTGCAAGGGAGACTGGAACATGGCCAAGTGAGGTAACTCTTTATGGATATACCCAGGTCCCACTTCACATACAAATGGGGTAAAGTGGGAGTAAAAGCGAGTTTAGTGGCAGGAATGCCAACGTGCAAGGGGCCCTTCCATTGAGAAGAACCCTGTTTAAATCTACTTAGGTTCATGTCACAGTAGTTTTTTCTTTTTTCACTTGTTAGTTTTATACTCTGATTTTATGAAAAATACCCCGTAACTCAGGTTTAATTTCCCTGGGGGAGATAGCTTTGAAATAACTATTAAATCTCTTTTTCCCTCTTTTTGCTGCACTAAGCAAACTAGGAAATATTTTCCCTGAGGACAACAGCCCGGTCATTCGTACAATAATCATTTTAATGCTATTTGTTTCTTCTTCCTTTTTTTTAAAAAAACTTTCCAACAGTGTTTGCATACAGCCCTCCCAATTTTATGTTTCTACATTTTCTTTTTTATGAGTAAGACAGATGACATGTTCATGTTTAGGATTTTGTGGGAAATTCAACTTAATTTCATGGCCAGGGGTAAATGTGAATGACTCATTGATGAAATTAGTAAGCCCTTTGCACAGCAATTGAAAATTTATCTATCTGGCACATTCATTTCATTGTCACACAACCACAAGAGGCATTATCCTCAGTTTATAGATGAGGAAACTGAGTTTCAGAGAGATGAAATCTTGTTAAGGTGCCACAAGTGGATTTGAACCCAAATAACCTGACCCAAACAAAAACAATCAACATTTCCTGTTTAAACCCCTTGTATGCAGTGTGCTATTTAATCTCAAAAGAAATCTGTGAGCTAGGTTATGATTAACATCTTTATTTTACAGAAAAAATTGAGGTTTTGAGGTTTAAATAAATCGGTAAGATTCAAACCCAGATCTGCCTTATTGCAAAGCTTTGTCCAAACACAGAACTTTTCCCGAAGCCTCAGATAGCTTTGAAAACTTCAAATCTGGTGGAGGTAAGAAGTGAGGGCTGGACCCGAGGCCACGGAAAGGAGAGCAGCCAGATCGAGCCCCCTGCTCGGGCTGAGAAGCCTTCACTTGCCAAGCCAGCTCTGTGGATGAACTATTTGCAGGCCTTGTTCTTTCAGAAGAGCTGAGGCAGCCTGGATGGAAGCCCAAATGCCAAGATGAAGGTGCCCGACTGACAAAATGCCAGTGTGAGCTGTTGCCTGCTGGCTTCACCTACTGAAAACTTGGAGACCCCCATGTTCACAAAGGCACTGCAGACAGAAAGAAATGTCTGGTAAGCAGAGAGGTCTCAGCAAGCCCAATTATCCACTGCAGCCATGATCATGATTGTGGTACATACCCAGCCCTACCACGTGGGGGGTGGCCCGATGCGGACATGGAGGCGCCAGCTGGTGCACCGCCAATTCTTCATCAGCAACGAAGGGCAGCCCTGAGATTTCTCATCCGCCCCAAGCACCCTCCTTTAACCTCCTTTACATGACAAAATTTCTACTTACAAGTTAATCAAAACCCTGACCATGAATGAGAAAGAAAAAAAAAATACCCCGTTAATTAAAAATCTCAAAAGATGCCAATGGTAACAGTTTGCAGATGCCTTCTTCTTCTGCTAATCCTACAGGAAAACCAGACATCAGTGATCAGTTTAAGAATCACAGGTGCTGTGATTAGGCCTGAGAGCATTTAGCTGTGACAAGTGGAATGAGAAAGATTTTTAATCTTCCTGAAATCCCAAGCTTTGAAAGTAATTAAATAATTAATGAGAAGCAGGGCTTCCCCTTCCTTCCCAAGAGAGGTTAAGTTCCCAAGTCTCTTCCCTGTGCAATACTGTCTCTTAAATGCATAGACAAAACATCTCCAGTCATTCAACAAATATTTATTGAGCACCTGCTCTATGTCAAGTACTCTGAAAGGTGGTGGAGACACAGCAGGGAGATTGACAAAGTTCCTGCACTTACCTTCTAGAATGAGGGATAATTAACAGGTAAATGGGTAGCTTGAGGGTGTTGGAATAAAAAGCAAGATGCATACAGCGTGAAAAGGGGGAGGACCCTGACCATGTGGTCAGGTACAGTCCTACGAGGTAGTAGCACTTGAATTGATACTTAAATGACAAGTGTCTTTGTCTTCTCTTGCCTATAACTGAATACCTGAAACTGGGAAATTTGTAAAGAAAAACACTTCTTATGGTTATGGAGGCTGAGAACTCCAGGGTCAAGGGGCTGCACCTAGGGTCTCTGCAGTTTCAAGGCGGCTCAGGGTATCGAGTGGCAAGGTTGCCGTGTGTGCTAGCTCAGCTGTCTTCCTCTTCTTAGAAGACCACTAGCTCCATTCCCATGATAACCCATTAATTCATGAATGGATTGATCCATGCATGTTCCAATCACCTCTGAAAAGCCCCACCTCTCAATACTGTAACGTTGGGGATTAGCTTTCAACATGAGTTTTGGAGAGGACAAATATTCAAGCCATGGCAACAAGTAAAGCCAGGCCAAGAGCACAGAGCATTTCAGGCAGAGGAAACTGTAAGTACGAAGTCCCGTAGGCTACATCAGACTTGATATGCTCAAGAACAAGCGGAATACTTGTGTGAGGTAGAGAAGTCGGCAGGGACAAATCCGCTAGAACCTTCTAGGACATAGTAAAATGTCTGGATGTTATTCTAAGTGATTGAGAAGGCTTTATTACTATTTTGTTTCTTTTGTGACAAGGTCTTGTTCTGTCACCCAGGCTGGAGTGCAGTGGAGGAATCATAGCTCACACAGCAACCTTGATCTCCCAAGCTCAGGCGATCCTCCCACCCTCCCACCTCAGCTTCCAGAGTAGTTGTGGTGGCACAGGCATGTGCCACCATGCTTGGCTAATTTTTTTTTTTTTTTTTTTTTTGGTAGTGATGGGGGTCTCAATTTGTTGCTCAGGCTGGTCTCAAACTTCTGGGCTCAAGCAATTCACCTGCTTCATTCTTACAAAGTGCTGGGATTACAGGCATGAGCCACCAATCCCAGCCTGAAAAGCCTTTTATTGGGGTGTCTTAACAAGGGATCATAAATCAGATTTCAATTTCTAAATGTTTGCCCTGGCTACAGTGTGGGTAATGTTTATGGGGGTGGGTGGTGGGCAAGGAAGAGAACAAAAATATTCAATGGGACCAATAGTCCATATAAAATAATACTGCCTTTGATAAAGTCCCCGTGACATGTTTTATTGACCTTATACACACAAGCACACTCATGTGTCACTTAACAGGGATACATTCTGAGAAATACATCCTTAGGTGATTTCACTGTTTTCTGAACATCAAAGTGTACTTACCAAACCTACATGGTATAGCCTACTACACACCTATGTTATATGGTGTGGCCTATGGCTCCTAGGCTGCAAACCTGTAGAGTACGTGATTGAACTGAAAACTTTAGGCAATCATAACACAGTGGGAAGTATTTGTGTACCTAAACATATTTAAATATTAAATTAAAAGGTATAGTAAAAATAGGGTAATCTTACGGGACCATCATCATATATGTGGTTCGTTGTTGACCGAAACATATTATGTAGTACATGACTGTAGTTGTTATTTTCAGAATGGATTTATATTAGACAGGGTTTTTTTTTTTTTTTTTTTTTGAGACGGAGTCTTGCTCTGTCACCCAAACTGGAGTGCAGTGGCGCGATCTTGGCTCACTGCAAGCTCCGCCTCCCGGGTTCCCGCCATTCTCCTGCCTCAGCCTCCCGAGTAGCTGGGACTACAGGTGCCCGCCACCTCGCCCGGCTAACTTTTTTGTATTTTTTTTAGTAGAGACGGGGGTTTCACCGTGTTAGCCAGGATGGTCTCGATCTCCTGAACTCGTGATCCACCCGTCTCGGCCTAGACAGGGTTTTTGAGAGAGACAAAACATAGATGGATGGATGGATAGACAGAGATGAGAAGGGATTGATTAGGGGAATGAGCTCACACGATTTGGAAACTGAGAAGTCCCATGCCAGGCATTTGCAAGCTGGAGACCCAGGGTAGCTAGTAGTTGGCTCAGTCCCAGCTGAAGGCCTCAGAATTAGGGAAGTTGATGGTGTTACTCTCAGTCCAAGACAGCAGGTCTGAGAACCTAGGGAACCACCGTTTCAGGTCCTGGAGTCCAAAAGCTGAAGAACTTGGAATTCTGCTTCCAAAAACAGGAGAAGAAGGGTGCCCCAGCTCCAGAAGAGAGAGAAAAAATTTGTCTCTCCTCTGCCTTTTTGTTCTATCTAGGCCATCAGCCAATTAAATGGTGCCACCCACAATGCGTGAGGGGAGATCTTCCTCACTCAGTCCACTGCTTCAAATGCCAATCTCTTCCAGAAACACCCTCACAGACATAACCAGAAATCATGCTTTACCAGTTATCTGTGTATCCCCTGATTCAGTCAAGTTGACACCTAAAATTAACCATCACAGGATTTCTCTATTGCTTGGCAGAGTTCCATCATTTCAGACTTTCTAGTATCTTAAAGTAGTACTCTTAATAAATGGATGTATCGTTTTACCCTTCTAGGAGCTAAGGACTAGCTCAATTGACTATAAAGAATTGAGAATGTCAGCTGACCAGGCAACCAGGGAGACGCTTTCCTGACTTCCACTGTGCACACGGGCTGCATAATTGTGTCTGTGAAGTACTGAAGAATGTGCTTGACCTGTAACGTCCAAACGTGTGGCCACCATTCACAGATAGTGTCCTTTGGGAATGGTGTGGGTATAGATGGGGAATGGTCAGTCCTACGAATATGGGGCTATAAGACAGCAAGGCTAGAAAGTATCTGTGCTTTCATTATTTAATTAAATTAATTAATTTATTTATTTATTTTGCACTAATGGTTTGCATTCACATTGAGGAACTGAGACTGTTTTTCAGACTTTTGGCCTGCTGATGACCCTATGTTCATAAAAGGATAGAAGTATAAGAAGTTGTTTAATATAAAACATACTGAAATTTTATTTTCTGTCTCCTTGGATATAAAGTTTCCACTTACCTTAGGTTTAAGTACCCACTCCTCCACAGAAAGGGACCTTGTGCACATAGATTGATATTCTCAGGATGAAAGCAGTACCTTCTACAACTAGGGACTCAGAACAGGAAGACGGTGCTTGTTCCTGATGGCATGTAAATCTAGATTCACTTCTAGCTGGAAGGAGGCAGGCCAGAAATTCAGAGTTGTAGGTCCTTGGCTTGGGTGGATGTGCTACAACATGAACCATAAACCTCCATCACTTACCTCGGCAGATAGAAAATTGGAATTTTGGAGGAAAGTTTCGCATCAGGCACTCAGACCCAATAAATACTCCCACTCCTTGCAAAGCTACCGAACACGGCACTCCATTTATAGGCTACCGAGGGATGCTTGGAATGTGTTGACCGGAGCCACCATCAGCACTTGCTGATGACCCTTGGTGGTACCACCACTCACTTTCTATACTGCGTTTTCTTCTTCCTTCCCTTTTGTTCTCCTGCCTAGTGACACACCAGTGCAGATTGACTTGGTGCCCTGGTGCCTGCTATGCACTGAATGCTCATGTCCTCCCACATTCATATGTCAAAGCACAATCCCCAATGTGATGGTATTTGGAGATGAGGCCTCTGGGAGGTGATCAGGTTTAGCTGTTGTAAAGGTGAGCCCCCCGTGACTGGATTACTGCCCTCATAAAAAGAGACACAAGCGAGCTTTCTCACCCTCCTTCCACCATGTTAAGATACAACGAGAAGACGGCCATTTGGAAAATAGGAAGCAGGCCCTCACTTGCTGTAGGCAATCATAACACAATGAGAAGTATTGTGTTGGCACTATCTGGTCCAGGAGCAGCTGGACCTCCCAGAAAGACATGGGGTCGGCCTCCACCTGGATCCTGAACTTCCCGGCCTCCAAAAGCATAAGAAATAAACATCTGTTGTTTAAGCCATGCAGCTTATGATAACTTTTTATAGCAGCCTGAAGCTACTAAGATGGTGCCAAGACTGTAAGACAGCACTAGAAGAGAGAGAATAAAAACACAGGCTCTTAAGCGGTCCAAATCCTGGCTCTGCCCCTTGTCCACTATGTGGTTTTGGGCAAAGCTGAATCTCTCTGTGCCTCAGTTCCCAATCTGGAAAATGAGACGTCTATTCTACCAGGGTAGGGATGAGATGAGATCATGTGTTCAGTTAGGTGGGATCAAACACATGGTAGAGGAACTTAATATGTGTTTGTTGTTATTATAGCTATGGCACTGAAAGAGTTGGGTTAAATAAAATGCAATCTCTTGGACGGGCACAATGGCTCATGCCTGTAATCCCAGCACTTTGGGAGGCTGAGGCGGGTGGATCACGAGGTCAGGAGTTTGAGACCAGCCTGGCCAAGGTGGCGAAACCCTATCTCTACTAAAAATACAAAAATTAGCCAGGCGTGGTGGGCATCTGTAATCCCAGTTACTCGGGAGGCTGAGGCAGGAGAATCGCTTGAACCCGGGAAGCAGAGGTTGCAGTGAGCCAAGATCGGTGCTCTCTAGCCTGGGTGACAGAGCAAGACTCCATCTTGGGAAAAAAAAAAAAAAATGCAATCTCTCACCGGAAGTTGAAAATCTAGCCTGTAAGATAAAAAGACACTTAATTGTAATATGTGGCACTTCGCAAAAAGTGACAAACACTATTATATAATCAGTATATGGAAAAAACACCATGAAAGCTGCAGTAGATTAACAAGAGCTGCAAATTCCTTATCACTGCTTTCATCAAAAGCTGGAGTTCCCCCTCCTCCTTGAAACTGTGACCTGTTGACAAACAGAATGAGGCTGAAACAACTCTGGGTGTCTTGCAAGGCAAAACCATGAGAAAGCTTGCAGCTGCTTCCTGATTCTCATGGGGCACTCCCTCTTGGAACCGAGCTGCCATGCTGGGAGATGTTACCTATGGGGGCTCCAGTTGACAGCCCCAGTTGAGCATCCACTGTTGGCCGTAGGAGTGAACCATCCCGGACAATCCAACTCGGTCAGCTCCCAGGTGACTTCAGCTGTTCCAGTGCCCAGCCACACCTTGTGATGCAGAATGCCCAGTCAACCCACAGAACTGCAAGAGATGATACAATTGTTGTTTTCATCTTTAAGCACTAAGTTTTGGATGGTTAGTTATGTAGCCATAGATAAACCAAACAGGAGTTTAGGAGAGGAGAGTTCTTTTCAAGTCAAGTGATCATGGAAGGGCTCCTAGAAGACATGGGATTTGAGAATATCCTTGGAGGGAACGTCTGTGACAAGAGACTCACAGGAGAAGATCATTCTAAAGAGAGGAATGAGTTAGAGCAGAACCCAGAGTGGGGTAAAGGTAGGCTGCAGGCGGCACCTGGCAAATGGACCAGAGCTGCTTAAGCAGGGTGCTGGGAGAAATGGGCTAGAGCCAAGCTGAGACGGTTGCTCGTTCCAAATCATGGTGGCTTTGGGGACAGGCTCTTTTCATTGCCAGGAAGGAAAACTCATTCCTGCTCTTCCAAGTAAAGGGGCTTCATGGGAAACAATGGGATTTTATGAGTTGGGAGATAAGAATCTGTGGAAAGAATAAAAACTAAAGAGCAGCTGGACCTCCCAGAGAGACACCGGAATTGGAAGTTGCTCAAGATCCCCCAGTGGCCACCTATCACAGGCACAGCAAAATCCTAAGCCCTTCACATGGTCTGTGAGGCCCACAGCATGGTGCCCTTGCCCTGGCTACCTCAATGATCTGATTTCCTTTCACTGCCTCCTTCGCTCACTCTGTTCCAGCCACACTGGATTCCTCACTGATGTTTAAACAGCATACTCTGGGTTCGGCACTTTTGCACTCATACGTCTTGCCACCAGGATTGTTCTTCCAGATATTTACATGGCTTCCTCCTCTTCACTCAGGTCTCTGTGGTCTCCTCAAGGGTGACTGCTTCCTCCTGCCACAGTGCTCTTGCCTGCTCTATTTTTCTTCCCAACACAGTATTACTGCCTTTTTAAAAAATCTGGCTCAGTGTGGTGGCTCACACCCGTTATTCCAGCACTTTGGGAGGCCAAGGTGAGCAGATTGCTTGAGCCTAGGAGTTCAAGACCAGCCTGGGCAACATGGTAAAAAACCCATCTGTAAAAAAAACACAAAAAATTAGTCGGGTGTGGTAGCGTGCACCTATGCTTCCAGCTCAGAGGCTGAGCGGGTAGGATGGTTTGAGCCCAAGAGTTGGAGATTGCAGTGAGCCATGGTCACACCACTGCCCTCCAGCCTGGGTGACAGAGTGAGCAAGACCCTGTCTCAGGAAATATATATATATATATATATATATATATATATATATATATATATATAAATATATATATATATGCATGCCAGGTGCAGGGGCTCATGCCTATAATTCTAGCACTTTGGGAGGCTGAGGTGGGTGGATTGTCTGAACTCAGGAGTTTGAGACCACCCTGGGCAACATGGTGAAATCCCATCTCTACTAAAATACAAAAAATTATCTGGACATGGTGGTGGGTGCCTGTAGTCCCAGCTACTCGGGAGACTGAGGAACAAGAATTGCTTGAGCCCGGGAGGCAGAGGATGCGGGTGAGCCAAGATCTCGCCACTGCACTCTAGCCTGGGCAACAGTGTGAGACTCTTGTTTCCAAAATAAAATAAAAAAAAAAGATATATATATAATCATCATTTGCCTCCCCAACTAGAATATATGCTCCATGATAGCAAAGACTTTGTATAATGCTTAGAAGAGTTCCTGGCATATAGTGGGTGCTCCACAAAAATGGTAGAAAATAGTGAATGAATAAATGAATCCCAGGCACTCGCAGGGCTTGAGGTATCTTGTTACTTCTCAGCAGGAGGAGTTTGTGGATCTTCATTTTAATTCTCCTCCAGTGCTCTCTGCTTCCTGTATTCCCAGGCAATTCCCACCCCATCTACTCGCTAAGAGCTTTCTTCTCACAGCTCCTGCTGACTCATAACCACGGCTTACTCACAACTCCCCTCGAGCTGCTACTGTGTTTCTTTGTGCATCTGTCCACCGTCTGTTCCTTCGGCTGACCTCCTGATTCTCCCTGGTTTTCCAGTTGAAGTTCCAGAAACAGAGAATCGATTAGGTCAGCCCATTCTCCATTTAGGCAGAGGTTCTGACCTTTAACTCTGGTCTGGGTCAGACATCCACATGGCTCCATCAACTGTGACCACAGGCACAGAGCACAGCAACCTAGATACAGAGAGCCATTGTGTCACTCAGCAGAGGCGCCTGGATGCAGTGGGTACCTTTAATGACCTGTTGACAATAACTTGAGGCTTCTGGTCAGGGCAGTGATGGACCAGATCTATGTCTTCAGAAGGTAATTTTAATCACCCTGTGTATTAGTCTGTTTTCACGCTGCTGATAAAGACATACCCAAGACTGGGCAATTTACAAAAGAAAGAGATTTAATGAACTTACAGTTCCGCATGGCTGGGTAGGCCTCACAGTCATGGCAGAAGGTGAGGGGCACGTCTCACATGGCAGAAGACAAGAGAAGAGAACTTGTGCAGGGAAACACCCCTTTATAAAACCATCAGATCTCATGAGACTTATTCACTATCATGAGAACAGCACAGGAAAGACCTGTCCCCAATTACCTCCCACCAGGTCCCTCCCACAACACACGAGAATTGTGGGAGCTACAATTCAAGATGATATTTGGGTGGGAACATAGCCAAACCATATCACCCTGTGAATAAGACAGTTTACTGATGGAAGAGGACACACAAGACCAGTTAGTAAGCCATAGGAAGGGAGAGCTGATGAGGACTCGAGTCAAGCCAAGGTCAACGACAGTGAGGAAGAGGAGGAGCAAGTGGGCCTTGAACCTGAAGCTGTCCACCAGGCAAGTGATGCTGGAGTTCAGCAGAGCAAATAGTCTGGAAGTCATAAAGGCATGATTTAAAATTATGGGGTGCAGAGCATAGCAACAGATTAGCTGAGATGGACATTTGGGGAAATCTCTTACATGGAAAGAGTCAAACAAAAAAGAAAAACCTATGTATACTTATATAGATGGGCAGAGACTCAGCAAGTCACAGAACCCCATAAAAACAGAGCAGCATTTTCCCCACTTACTCTCTTATTCTCAGCAACACCAGCTCAGAGGTTCTGCATGAGATTCCACTCTGTTCCAAGCCCCAAGCTTCAAGTCTGTTTTTCTACAGCCAGTAACATTATTTCTTGGGAATCCACAACATTCTAAAAATACATTCGCTAGGCTGCAGTGCCACAATTAGTAAAGCTGCTGTCCCAGGAAACCCTCATCATCATTTTGCTTAGATCAGAGAGCGGATTAACTTTGATGTCTGTCTGAACCCTGTGCGATACACCACTGGCGGTCTGCTCCCTGCAAGCATTCAATCTTCACATCCAAGGGAAGAGGAGAAAGTGCCGGAGAGAAGCCCAACCCAATTCTTTCCCCAGTGATTGAGATGAAAATATGCACCCTAGGGCTGCCAACATATCTGACTTGCATCCTAGCTCCCTACATCCCTGGAGCTCTCTCTCCCTTTGCACAAATACGTTCTCCCAAACTCAAACCTCCTTTGCCTTTCCCAAACATTAGCACAGTGATGAAGCCCCAAGTGCTTTCATCCATGCCATGTGTAGGAGGTAATTGTGTTAATTTCTGTATCTGTTAGCACTCCTGGTGGCATGCCACTGAAACTGACTCCAATTTAAGTCCAAAGGGAGTTTATTGGAAGCATATAGGGTGGCCTGCAGAATATAATGAACACTCAAGAATCAGATTGCAAGGGGAAACAACCAGGGAGGCTCCAGGATTACAGGCAAGTGGGAGGTATACGACAATCACATCAGAACATTAGCAACGGAAGACAGCTACTGCAACAATGCTGTCCGTCTTTGCATCACTATCTTCATAGTCCTTATTACTGGGAGAAAAAGTACAATTGGACCAAATGATCCAGTTGGATCATCCCCACACCCAGGCAACACAAGCTCCCTGACATCACAAAGCATTGTAGATTGGTGGTTAAGAGCAGTATCTGGAACTACCCAGGCTGGGTTTGAATCCTGGCTCTGCCATTTACCAGCCACGTGACCAAGTCATTCTCAGTATGCCCCAGTTTCCCTCTCTGAACATGAGGATACCTATCCATAGGTATTGGTGAGCTCTAAATGAGCAAACCTGTGATACTGACTATAGCTGGCAAGTGTTGTACTAATCTTGATGTTAGTATTGATTAGGAATACACAAGGCCCCTGAAACTGCAGTACATCCAAAAAGGCTAAGATGAGAGGTCATTCTCCAAAAGATATCAGGAGCTTTTATTAAGGGAAACTGGGTGGCCAAAAAGCAATTACAATCCTCTGCTACATCTTTTCCCTCCACCAGACTGTGGACACCATGAGGACAATAGATTCTGCTGTTTTCCTCACAGTTGTGTTCGCCAGCACCTGAAAAGTGTCTGGCATGTTGTGCCTGGCTCAATGAACCACTATTGAATTCACAAATATTGAATGATTCCTTCTGTGTTCCCAATCAACTAGTCCAATGTTTTGCGTGGGAGTAGGCACACAGTAAGTATTTGCTGATTTAACTGATAGGTCAGTGGGCAAAGAAAAACTGGAGGAGTGTGGTTTTCTCAGAAATGGGGAAAACATTGGAATCAAAGAGATGAGCTTGCATTTGGCAGGACTTGGTGGCAAGTAAGTGATAGGTAACTGTTTTCTGGTGTGTTGATGTCAATTATCTATATGATCTAGACAACCTAATCATTTCTGCTGGTCAACTGACGCCTTTAGATCAGCATCAAGGAGATGAGAGAAACCATGAGTCACTTGGCACACCACCTTGGAGAGGGAGAAGCTCATCTGCCCCAATGGACTTGTCTCTGTCTTAGAGGCACTCCCGGTACCTCACCAGGATGCCCTATTCTCCTGGCAACCCTCCTTACTGGCGTGCAGGTGCCTGTGAGTAGGACTTGGCTGGCCATCCTGCCAAGCTTGCTCATGGAGACAGCAAGATCTCATGGAGGAGCATATCAGATCAGACATCACAAGAGCTAAGACCTCGGACAATGTTGTGTGACCTCAGGAGAGTTCTGGTCTCTGGCTGTCAGTGACCAGATCTATAAAATACAGTAATCCTTGCCTTGCAGCTCAGGGAGGTGTTATTCAAGTGGAGTCACATCCTCAGAGATTTCATCTGGAACTCCTTCTGTTGTAAAAGACAGAACCCAACTCAAACTGGCTTCAGAGAAAGGGGGACCCTATTGCTCATGTTACTGAGCAATCTAGGGGTAGATCTTCTTTGAGATACAGCTGGCGCAAATCAACATTAGCATCTGATTCCTCCCCATCTCTCAACCCTCCTTCTGCTGTACTGACTTCCTTTTCAGTCCCTAAATGATGGCCCCCAGTAGCTCGAGTCTCATTCGCTCAAGTTCAAATCCAACTTTCCAACAGCTGGGAGAGACTATGGTTGGCTCAGCTTCAGTCACGTGGCCAGGAGGATGCAACTACATTGGGTGTTCAGGACTGATTCCCAATCAGTACTAACCTCAAGACTGAGTCCTGGGTGCCAACCAATCCCTGTGATAAGGAAGCTTGGTCAGGCCCTTATGCTTAACTCTCAGAGCTGGGAAGAAGTAGGATGAGGATGGGGAGCCCTAGCTTATCTCATGGACTAAGAGTGGGAAAAAAGTGGGTCCCAGAAAGATATTTGGGGTACTATTCACAGAAAAAAGGGAAGTGGCCACTGGGCTGATACAATGTAGATGCCCACTACACCTGGGTATTTTCTTTGTTTTTTTTCTTTTGCAACAGAGTCTCACTGTCACCCAGGCTGGAGTGCAGTGGTAGGATCTCGGCTCACTGCAAGCTCCACCTCCCAGGTTCCAGCTATTCTCCTGCCTCAGCCTCCCAGGTAGCTGGGCCTACAGGCATGTGCCACCACACCTGGCTAATTTTTTTGTATTTTTAGTAGAGACGGGGTTTCACCATGTTGGCCAGGCTAGTCTCGAACTCCTGACCTCATGATCCACCCACCTCAGCCTCCCAAAATGCTGGGATTACAGGCGTGAGCCACTATCCCCCGCCTTCACCTGGGTATTTTCTATCATGTGATATAAAGCCAGTGTCACAGGTTCCCTCTGTGTTATGAAGTCTTCTGTCCTCACCCTAACAAGCTCCTGGAAGTGCCCGAGGAGCAGCTGCCACACTGCAGTCATCTGTCTTCCTCCTCTGAATTTCTGTAGCCCGCAGGACCATAACACGTGTCGGCGGCTGGCCATGTCGGTCATTAGTTATCTTTTTATGGATATGTTCTATCTCTTCATCTATGTGACAGGATCCTGGAGAGCAGGGGTCACATCTTATTCATCTTCGTGTCCCCTTAGCACTCTGTCTGGTGTTCGGGGCATGGCAGATAGTCCATGAATCTGGGGAGAGATTGGATAACTGATTTACATGCTTCTGGAGCCACAGAGGTAGACGGTAGCTTGGTGCAACTACAAGATTACAAAGATAGAGGAAACCTGTCCTCTACAAGCTATTTTGAAACGCTTGTAGATCTGTCGTGGCCTAAATAATGCTGCCAGGGTCAAGATAGATATCCTCGTTGCTCCTCAGGCCCAGCTGCTGGCATGATTCCTGCTTATAAAGGCGTGGAGGCCCAAGGAATCTGGGTCTCAGCTGCGCAGTCTCCCTGTGCAAGTCACAGTCAGGCACAGCCCACCTGTAAGGGCAGTGAGGTGCAGAGGGCAGAGGATGGCAACTTGAGGAAGAGGAAACAGGTATCTGTCCTCAGTGGCCCCCACCCAGACAATACGGCAGTGCTCCGTGGCCCCATGGATGGAACCGGACGCTGGCTCTCTGCCTTGGCCAAGGCATCCCAGCACAGGCAACAGGGAGAGAGGATGGGATGGAAAAAGAGAGTAGCTTGGATGCTGAAACAACATTCCTCCTAGGCTAGTCTTGGTGCAGAAGCCCCGGGGCTCCGGTTTTAGAATCCCCCAGCAGGCCCTCTCGGGCCAGAGATTTGCCCCTTTGTCCCTCATACGTACAAACCTCCCTCAAGAAGGACGAGTGAGTCGTCCAAAGACGCGCAGCGGAGCCGCGGTTCCCTCTCCTGTAAACTAAGCCGACTGATACAAGGATTAATTGCGCAAGCAACAGAGAGCATCCGGCGCACGGCGGACAGTCGCTAAATAAGAAATTACTGGGGGATGGACGAGAAAGCTGGCTGGTTAAGAAGGGGATGGTAAAGGAGGTCTGGAGGGTGCTGGGTGGAGGTGCTGAAGGAGGAACCGGGCCGAAGGAAGGAAAGCAGACAGAACAGGGCCCTCAGGAATCGAGCGCAGCAAAACAGCTCCAACCTCAATCCAGCGCCAGCACCGGGCCAGCACAGCACGGAAGCCCGGGGAAGGTGGAGGGCAGGGTCCGAGGCTCCGCCTGTGACCCCACCCCTTCCAGTCATGAGGCCCCGCCTCTGACTCCACCCCTGCCTCGCTCCCCGCTTCGCCCCTCCTCTTCGTCCCTCCCCCAAGGCCCGGAAGCGAAAGCCTCTCAGCCTCTTCCGAGCGGGGTCACGGGCCGGCCGTCGGTAGCCAGGTTTCCGAGAGTGCGGGGCGGTCGGCGGGTCAGGGCAGCCCGGGGCGCAACGCCATGTCCCGGAACCTGCGCACGGCGCTCATTTTCGGCGGCTTCGTCTCCCTGATCGGCGCCGCCTTCTATCCCATCTACTTCCTACCCCTAATGAGATTGGAAGACTACAGTGAGTGATCTCTGACCCCGTGCGGTGACCTGACCCCCCCACACACACCTCCCCCTCCGTGAGCTCCACGTGGTGCCGTGGAAAGAACTTGGCTCGAGGGTTAGGGAGAGCCAGGTTCGAATCCTGCCATGTGCAGCTTTGTGACCGTGGACAAGTTGCTCAACCTCTGGGACCTTCAGTATCCTCATCTGTGAATATTAATAGCTACATCATCTATAGTAAAGTGCCGAGCCTCCTGTGAGACTCCGGTGGTCATGTATATGAAAGCAGTCCTCTCATAAGTCAACGCTAAGTACTAGTTCATATTTACAGTTAAAATTCACTGCATGCCTATTATACGTCAGGTTAGGCATATGTTGGATCGTTTCATTTGCACAAGCTCACCTTGAAGTATGTATGTAAAACATACCCATTTTACAAATAAGGAAACTGAGGTTCAGAGGTTTTATAACGTTCCCAAGGTCACACAGCAAGTGACAAGGCAAATATATCCTACCCCAGGCCTCTGTCCGGAGCCTTCTTGGAGCATTTAGGCTGGGAAAGGTGACTGAGGGAGCCAGATGGAACCCTGATCCTCCTGAGCAGAAAGGTGCTTTTACTGCACTTCATTTCCACTCCCAAAGATGTTTTTTGAGCGGGACTGTTTCAAACCCAAATGTTAACCTGGGGCTTTTAGTTTTTTCTCTTCTTTTTCCTCAAATGGTTTTTCCGATTCTGCTGGTTTCCTTCGTTTTAAGCCGGTTGTTCACATGGTAATGGTGAATATCCTGGGAGTAATTTTCCTTCTTAATCATTCCAGTCCTATCATTCTAAAAGCCAAACTCTTCTTCCTTGAGACCTATTTCTCAGCAAGGATTAGCACTTTCATACATCTGAAACCATCTGTCAGAGAGAAAATATTAGGCATTAGAGGCTCATTTTTGTTCACCAGGAAACTCGAATCGTCTTGAAGATGGAAGAGGGCCAACTCTGCCCTTTGGGAATATTAACGGACACTGAAAGCTTGGCGAATTGAAGGCCAAAGCTCCGTGTAAGCGTTCTGCCCATTACAAATGTTACAGCAGTCGGTTTCTGGAGGCAGAGCGTTTTAAGTGCCCACTCAGATTTCCTTGTAGCTTCTTCTCATCAGCCAAGACTGAAATGGCCACTGTGTTCTGCCTTCCAGCTTGTCTGCATGCACCATGTGTGGGAGTAAGGTGGGCTGTGTGATGCCCTGCGGGATCTGTTGCCACCATCCTTCTTCACCGGACGCCTGCCCCAGCGATTATATTAAGGCCACTAGAACTTGGGACAAAGGGTCTGCTTTGCATCCCATTGGAAAAGTCAGTTCTAAAAACTAGAGCTGTTGGTTCTTATCTAGGAGTGATTTTGTCTCTTAGGATATTTGGCTCAATCTGGAGACATTTTTGCCTGTCACAACTTGGGATGGGGGTGTCGAGTGTTGCTACTGGTTTCTTGTGGATAGGCGCCAGGGATACTGCTAAACTTTTTGCAGTGCATACAGGACAGACCTCCATGACAAAAAATTACCCAGCTTAAAATACGAGTGGTGCCTTAGTTGAGAAACCCTGCTTGAGGTGAGATGGTCAAGATGTGGGCATGTACTGTGTATCCTAGTAACAGTCTTTTAGGGATACTCCAGAATCTGTGGTTGTCTGAATGTCTTGAGACAGACAAATCAGGTGATGTTCATCTGTGGGTGAACATTTAGTGAATGTAACTATAATATCTGCATGTTTAACTGGAAGGCAGTCTGTGCCTTCCCGCTTTTCTGGTCCTTTTTTTTTTTTTTCTTTTTTTCCGCTGTCACCCAGGGTGGAGTGCAGTGGCCTCATTTCAGCGCACTGCAGTCTCCACCTCCCAGGTTCAAGTAGTTCTCCTGCTTCAGCCTCCTGAGTAGCTGGAATTACAGGTGCCCACCACCATGCCCAACTAATTTTTGTATTTTTTAGTAGAGATAGGGTTTGGCCATGTTGGCCAGGCTGGTCTTGAACTCCTGACCTCAGGTGATCCACCTGCCTTGGCCTCCCAAAGTGTTGGGATTATAGGTGTGAGCCACCATGCCCAGCCTCTGGTTCCATTTTGATTAATTTGGCCAACTCTGTTCTGGGGATCATAACTGATTCTTTTTTCTGAGACAGAGTCTCGCTCTGTCGCCCAGGCTGGAGTGCAGTGGCATGATCTTGGCTCGCTGCAACCTCTGCCTCCCGGGTTCAAGCAATTCTTGTGCCTCAGCCTCCCAAGTAGCTGGGAATCCAGGCGTGCACCACCAGTCCTGGCTAATTTTTGTATTTTTAGTAGAGACAGGGTTCTGCTATGTTTGCCAGGTTGGTCTTAAGTGCTTCACCTCAAGCGATCTTCCTGCCTCAGCCTCCCAAAGTGGTAGTGTTACAAACTGACTGCTGTAACATTTGTAATGGGCAGAGTGTTTACACGGAGTTTTCGCCTTCAGTGCCAGCAACTGATTCTTTTAAACAGGTAAATATTGCTGAACAGGTAATATTTGTGGGAAGTTTACTGTATGTTTGGCACTCTTCTAAGCACTTCCTGTGTATTAACCCATTTAGTGTTGATAACAGCCCTTTGTGGCAGCTGCTATATGATCATCATCCCTATTTTATATGTGGATAAACTGAGGTGCGAAACAGTTAAATTACTTGCACAAGGACCCACAGCTGATGAGTCACAGATCTGGGACTTGAGTTAGTATCCTTAATCCCTAAACCAAGACAGCATACTGCTTGTCTAAGGGGGCAAGAAAAGGCAGTAGGGGAGATGAGTGTCTACATAGCCTACTAGATGAATGACCCTCATCTAAGTTACTTCAGCTCTCTGAGCCCTGCCTGTTTCCTCATCTGTAGCAGTGTAGTTCACTGGATTGAATTTACAGGGTTTGGGGTGAATTAAATGAGGTAACAGGCGTGGAACACCTAGTATAGTCTTATATTAGACATTTCATTAAAATGTTTACAAAATAATGAGCCACAAGGGCAGGAATGTGAGACATAGAGATTTTAGCAGGTGGATAGGCCTGGAGCTGGCTGACCTTGCAGTAAACTGGGGTGAGGTGTTCATTATCAGGTCACGGAAACCCACTGTGTGGTCGGAGCTTCAGCTCATTCCAACACATTCAACTAGCATCTATTTAGCATCTCACTCTCTTTTTTAGAAGAAACCTGGATTCTGGCAATCGCTAGGTACCTGGCACTGTGCTGGGTGTGGGCTGCACCTAACCAAACAACATGGTCAGTCACTTCCTTCTATCGTGCTCTTCCCACCCTTGTCCTGTCCACCTCACTCCACCCATTCCTGGGACTAAGCTGCTTCCATTGTGCCCCACCTACTGCCCATTCTCTACCTAGCAGCCACAGTGGTCTTTTCTGGTGACTTTTGGTTGCTGGTCTCTATCTTATTTGCATTTGTGGTCAGAGAACGTGGACTGTATGGTTTTGATTCTCTGACACTGGTCAAGATTTGCTTTGGGGCCTGGTACAGGTCAGTTTTTGTAAATATTGCCTGTGTGCTTGGAATGGTGGCTATTGTTGGGTACAGAATTCTGTATCTCTGTATGTTAATTACAGATCAAGCTTCTTAATTCTGTTTGAATTTGGATGTCCTGCGGCCATGTTATTAGGTGCGTACAATCTAGAATATTCTGGATAATTTTTTCTAAGTATTATTATATAAGAATTCTCTTTATTTCCACTGTTCTTCCCCATCTCTATTTTATCTGATTTTATTGTGCTACCGGATTCCTTTCTTTTTTTGTGGTTTTTTTTTTTTTTTTTTTGAGATGGAGTTTCGCTGTTGATGCCCAGGCTGGAGGCAGGCTGGAGGCTGGAGTGCAATGGCGCAATCTTAGCTCACTGCAACCTCTGCTTCCCAGGTTCTAGCAATTCTCCTGCCTCAGCCTCCCGAGTAGCTGGGATTACAGGCGCCCACCACCACACCTGGTTATTTTTTGCATTTTTTAGTAGAGACGGGATCTCACCATGTTGGCCAGGCTGGTCTCGAACTCCTAACCTCAGTTGATCCACCCACCTCAGCCTCCCAAAGTGCTGGGATTACAGGCATGAGCCATTATGCTCAGCCCAGATTTCTTCTAATGTTTTCCTGGCTTATCTGTTTCTCTCCTCATACATGCAGCCTTTGTCCTTATGTGACTATCTTAGAACCAACATAAACTAGATATTTTAATCTGACCTGTTAATCTCTTTTAACTATTAGATTTGATTAATTTTAATTTATCCTATTTACTGACATGTTTGCATTTATTTTTCTCACTTATTTTGTGTTTTCTATTTTTTTTTTTTTTTGAAAGACAAAGTCTTGCTCTGTCACCAGGTTGTACTGCAGTGGCAAGATCTTGGCTCACTGCAACCTGTGCCTCCTAGGTTCAAGCAGTTCTTCTGCCTCAGCCTCCCAAATAACTGGGATTACAGGCGCATGCCGCCACACCCAGCTATTTTTTTTTTTTTCTGTATTTTAGTAGAAATGGGGTTTCACCATGTTGCCCAGGCTGGTCTCAAACTCCTGAGCTCAGGCAATCCGGCGGCCTCAGCCTCCCAAAGTGTTAGGATTACAGGCATGAGCCACTGCACCCGCCCTTCTCTTCTATTTCTATACTTCCTTTTTTCTTCTTTTCTGCCTCAAGCCTTCTTTATTCTTCTCTTCCCTCTAC